TGCTCTGCAGGGGGGGGGGGAACGTCGCCGCGCGCAATGAACTGGAAGTTGATCTGTCAGCACTATCCTCATCTTCAGGGCAGATGTTTTTGTTTTATTCGGCTTATAATTCCTTACTAAATGTAGTGTTTCATCTCGATGTACTCCGATATGATTTAAATTAATTTCGTTGTCATTATAAATATCACGAATACACATCAAATAGTTTTGTCGTTGCAATTTTCTAATTTAGACTATGTGTAATGTATGCTTTACGCATGTTCACATTGAAAGAAATGTTTAATAAAATAAACAAATGGATATTAAGCCTTTTTTTTTTTTTGTAAATTTTGGTACCCTTTAGACCATAATTGCTCTTTATTTCATAAATTACAGTTTCATATTTTTAATTGTATAATTTTTGCATGCCATCTTACCCATATTTAAATTGATGATCTATAATCCAGAAAAACCCCTAATCCTGAATCGCCGAAGTCCCGACGAGTCTGGATTAAAGACTTTGTACTGTAATATATGAATTAAGGAAATCTACTCTTGCCCATTAATCTGTGGGTGGTGGTCACACTGTCAAACCAGTGCACATCTAGGACTTGGAAACTTACTGAGGTAGTAGGAAAAAAAAAAAAACTTACCTTCTTCGGTGTGCATTTCCAATAAATGACTAAATTTGTGAATTTAAAAACAAATGTGTGGGAATTGCATTATATGTAAATTTTTTACATTATTTTACGAAGTAAATTGTCAGAAAAGTTTAAAAATAAACATTTATGTAATTTTTCTATAGCACATACATTTCTACATAATAAGAAAGTTCTGATAAACAGATAAAAAACTCCATAAAGTAAGGATTAAAAATAAAAATTCAGTGCTTTTTTTAAACGTCGAAGAACAAGTTTTTTTTTTGTGACACTCTTCAAAGCATGTTTTATCTTTTTGGTACATGCATAGACCCACATTGCACGTTTTGCACATATAATCTAGTTTTATGAGGTTTCTCCCTTGTGCTAGAAAATGTACACTACCTGGATTTGCATACTGGTATGTGTCCAATGTTATGGCACATGAAATTTATGGGTTTTTTTTATGTAAATGGGGGGCTTGGTCTTTTTTGGCTTTGGTACGGATCTTTTGTTTCCCATTTGTATTTATTTTATTCCTATTTCATCCCAAAGTATTTATAAATTATTATTTTTTATTTAAATAAAGCTTTTATGCAATTTCTATTTTTAAGTATAGCAAAGTATATTTACATTATATTTAAACTACACAAAATAATTTATGAAATCACATAAATAGCATAGGAAGCAAGCGTATTGAGGTCAGAGAAAAATCTCTGGAAAAGAAAGACCTTTTCACTGAGCAGGTGTATGCATTGTTTAGTAATAATCCGGGTAAAAATAAACATTTCTATTTGAAAAGCAGCAAACACCATTATGAACAGCAGTGGTTTCAAGGTGCGACCACTGAGCCTCTAGACAAAGGATTGTGAGCATTGTGACACAATGCTCTAGTGGCTCAGTGATCGTACCCCGAAACCAGAAAGCAAATGCCATGAATATACATAGATTTTTTATATACACAGTTTAATTATTGCTGTTTTTTATTGTTTATGATGAAATAATAATGTGCAATGAATAACTTTTGGAATTTAAAGTTGCTTATATTATTAAAAGGAAGTTATTTTCGCTCATTGAAAATGAATTTTAAAAGCCATATGACTTGAAGTACTAAGACCTAAAAAATTTATGGTTCTGTAATCATTTTGTGTTATGTAGAGGTAAAAGATCAGTAATCAATTGGTGTTCACTAAAAGATTTTGGAAAGAAAAGGAGAAAAAAATACGAAACTTTGCGGTTTCAGGTTTCGACCACCGCACGTCAAAGGACATGATAGTGAAAATTTTATAGATTATAATTCAAACTAAAAAATTTAAAAAAAATAAAAAATTTTAAAGATTCAAATTTGTAAAATAAATCATAATATATGGGCAAATTTTATTTAAAATGAACCTAAATTTCAAAATGTGAAACAAAGAATCAAATAAGTTTAATAAAAAAAGAGAGATCAATAAATGTATACCACCTTCAATTAACATTTAGGAGCTAAAATTTTGAGAGCTAATTTTTTAAAAACTACTCGTGCTATTTTTACAAAACGTAGCAGTTTGGCATAATGGGATTCGTAGAATTGAAACATGGAAAAAAATTGGCATGTCATTTAAAAAAAAAGTCAGATTTTGTGTCAAATTACCTATATTAGTACAATGCTATGTATAAGGGCAATACATTTCTAAGTCGCCCTTTCGAGACATGAAAAACGCAATTTGAATTTCATCAATTAGTGCATTAGAACAGGAGATATAGAACTGTCCCTTTTTTTTTTGCACAGTGTACATGTAGTTCATTCTTTAACTGTATATATATAGTAGTATATAGATATGTACCTAGTGTGTAAAATTTTAATATAATGCATATTGCATTTTTGGTACTCTTCTGTAATGCACCTCCACACATTTTGGCTAGTTTTTTAATTGTAAATAAATTCTAGAATAAGAATAGTTTATAGATAGCAGTCTATTATTTTGAAGACTTTATTTCATTCTTAATTACACAAAAGAACCATAAGCTGAATTGAATGAGGACACTAAATGGGAGACATAAATTTTTAAATATCTGCTAGTACAACAGAAAAATTTCGGCCCTCGGATGCTGGTGGCACTGCAGGATTTCTATTAAGTAGGAATCAAAATATTGATGGGCATATGCTTCTTTGGCATTTTTCCTGCAATTTAGCACTGCCAAGAAATGTTTGATAGATTGGGTATGGCAACCTGTGTCTGAGTCAATAAAGTTAAATGAATAATTCAGTGTTAAATGATCATATCCAGCAGCAGATGATTTGTAGCCTTTCCAGCATTCTGAGAGTATCATTGTCCTATTTGCTATGTTCTCTATTGTATCCATTTGTCTTAGCAAAGCAATCTGGAAATAGTGACCAGAAAACATTCTTTCATTCCTCGATACAAACCTCTGAAAACCTGCTTAAGTGACTTACATTGTTTCCTTTTTTTGAATAAGCTTTTGCCAATTTTGATGATTTTATCAGTACCACCAATCTTAATTTAGAACAAGACATTAAAGAACTGAAACTAATATCTCAGAGATGATTGTTCCAGTTTGCTGTCATTTTGTGATTTGATTGAAGCTGTCATTCACAAAAATCAGTGGATGTCAGCTCTTCTTCACATCACAAATAAATCCCAGACTGGTGAGAAACTGTATGCACGAGTTTCTCAAACCATGTTCTTTTTCAGATTCCTTTCTCTTCTCTGCATGAATGAAAATAGCAGAAAGTCTTTCTTTATGTACAAGATCTTTATCTTGAAAGAATATTTAAGGGCTGCTGCTTCATTTGTCGAGAAATCCAAAATTTTCAAATCCATTGCAGTAAAGTACAAAAACCGAACATAGAAACCAGGGGCGTAGCTAGAGTTTCTAGCGCTCGGGGACAACTAAAGAATTTGCCCCCTTTCTGTGTGACAGAAACGGAAAATATTTCATTAAAAAATTTCGTAGCATGAATTTGGTGCCCCTTGGATGCTGCGTCCGGGGACAGATGTCCCCCCTTGCCCCACCCTAGCTACGCCACTGATAGAAACCAAGGAATTTGAAATAAATGCATTACACAAGCGAAGCAATTCGACAAATGATTTGATCCTCAGACGTACATGAATAGTTAAATAAATCTAAATTCATTAAAATTTCAAATTTTGTATTTTTCATCTGTAAACTATTTTCATACCTAGGAACTGTTTGCAATTAAAAAAACCTAAAAAAATATGTGTCAGGTACATAACGGAAAAGTACCTGGTTTTTTTTTTATATTTAAGCAATTTGCTTCTTTTTGGTTGTAAAAATGCACTTTCCTTCTATTTCTTATTCATAATACAGTCAAAAGTCGTTAATTCGGACACCCATAATCCGGACCTCAAAGCTACAAACTTTCTGCGCATGCGTAGGCGTTTACGCGTGCGTAAGATCTTTACGGCTGCGAATATGCGTGTGAGTATGCGCATAATACGTTTATGCATGCGCTTTTAATGTATAATGGACGGTATAAGCTAAAATGATCTAATTCAGTTAATGTTGCAGATTGCGTTGTTTCTTAATCTTCGAATTGGATCCGGCTTATTATTTTTTGCAGACTGTTAGAGCAATTTTATAAAAGTAAGCTTGAACTTTCGATTATGACAAATAGAATTTCCGATATATATTTACTAATATGTAAAGGATCTACAAAGTGAAAGTATGTTTCGAAATCCGAAATCTTTTACCAATTTCACGCTGTGGCGGGGGGGGGGGACTCCGCGGTGCGCAATGAATTGTAAGTTGATCTGTCAGCACTATCCTTATCTTCAGGGCAGATGTTTTTATTTTATTTGGCTTATAATTCCTTACTAAATGTAGTATTTCATCTCGATGTACTCCGTCTTTGATATGATTTTAAATCAAGTTCCTTGCCATATATAATTCGCTTCCGATAGTGAAAGAAAATGACGGAGGTATTGAAAACGAAAAAATTTCGATTGACAAATTAGTCCTGTATTCTCGACAGCAATTATAGGACTTGAACAGCGGAACTTTGTAACTAAACAGAAATTATGTCTGTTTAATAGAATTAAAGAAAAGTATTATCGCATGAAACGAAGCAACTTAAAACAACTTACATTGAAAGAAATGTTTAATAAAGTAAACAAATAATATTAAGCTTTTCTTTTTGTAAATTTTAATACCCTTTAGATCATAATTGTTCTTTATTTCATAAATACAGTTTCATATTTTAATTTTGTAATTTCTGCATGCCATCTTACCAGATTTAAACTGATGATCTATAATCCGGAAAAATCGAGAATCCGGAATCGCCGAAGTCCCGAGTCCTGATTAACGACTTTTGACTGTATATTAATTCCTTATTGTACTATTAATTTTGTTCTTATTCAGCATCTGGCATGTGTGTCGATAAAGAAGATGTTCCAAATAAAAGCTCATCTCTTACTAATTCAGTGGAGAGCTGTAGTGATCTTTCTCTTGCAGCTATGAGTCTGTCTAGGTCATATTTGTTACAACATAGTCAAGAGAAACTTCTGAACTCCGAGTTAGCATCTGATGTTGTTGAAGCTAAAAGACTGAAATTAGATCTATGTAAGCATTATTGCGTAATGTAATAATTTATTTGTTTGTTTATTTATGAAATTGTTGGGAAATTACTGTATAAATTAGCAGCAAATTTTGAAGAATTTTTATTCTTATGGGAAATTACACAAGTAACAGCTGCATCTGTTATTCGAGTTTCATTGCATTTTAATGTTTAATCTTATTTATCTAATTCTTTGACGCTGGATTCTTTCGTTAAAAATATTATGTTGTTGAAAATTAAGGGGTTTAAACTTTTAACTCCATTTAACTGTCTGACTGGTGGCACATGACGAAAAAAAAAACAATAGTGAAAGTACTATCAAGGCACATAAATGTCTTCTTATAATTAAACTCCAAATGCAATCTTCAAATCAATAATCGTAAACTTGATTAGTACATTTATTATAATGAGTCGTGTTGTGATTAACCCACGTAAAAAGAAGGAAAGAATCCGTAACACAATAACGAAAGCCTCCTGGCTCAAACAAATGGAGTGATGCGACAGACCACCGTAAATTGACACAAAATAAATAAACAAATGCAATTAAAATTTCAAACAAATTCATTTTATTAAATTCCTGGTTAAACTGATCAGTATGACATATGATAAACTGATCAGTATCCTAACTACACTAATGCTATGCAAAATAACACATATCACACCAAATTACATCTTACATAAATTAAGGTTAACATTTCCAAATCCTACTGTATCATAAATGTAACACTAGCATTTTACTCATTTCATCTTCTATCATCAAGTATTTATCATGGTAATTTCCGTTAAAAATAATGAAATTTCCACTGTTACGATTAATTAATTTTTAAGCAATTAAACCCTATGGTATATTCAAAGTTCATCAAACATTGCAAATGACAACTCTACCCTGGTTATTTAGAATAATCATTAAGGTAATTCAAAATAAATAAAAAAAATAACAATTCACTCATGGGGGTGAAGTCCATACCGCATTCACGTATAATTAGGGAAAATCATCGTAGGCAGATTAAATAGGCGATTTTACAGCCCCGCAAATCATCCAGTGTCCCAAAGGTGTACACATGAGCACCACCAACATTCTGCTGTCCTTAAGTCACAAATCTGCATTAAAGGAGAGAGACAGTTCTTGCGAATTTTAAAAAACGAAAACCTGGGTGAAGCGCAACTGAAGCTGTCTGTACCATTAGCAGAGTTGCCAACTCTCCCGATTTTCGACCGCTCTCCTGCCAACCCAATTTACAATATATTTCTCCCAACTGTCTTATTCTTAAAATTTCTCACGATTTTTATGGAACTTGGCTTAATACTTTGTTATATGAACAAAAAAAAAAAAAAAAAAAGTGCTTTTGGGCGTGTGAAAGCAATAAACAAAACCTGAATTTTTTGTGAGTGAGAGTATACGTATCCAGAAACGTTGTTCTCCAATGGGCATCGAGCTCCACTGTGTGTCAGCTGACATATATTAGCCAATAAGAACAAAGCAAGTTGTTATTTCGATGTTCTTTAGTTATTTCGTTCATTTTGTCCTGAGTTGTGTACGTGCCTTCGGGAAATATTTCTAGAAATTATCATCTTTTGTTACGTCTGCAAGAAAAGGTGAAATATTCGTGTACGTTTCAATAATCATACACAGTTGACTTTCATTCCATTATTTCCTCAAGGAAAAATAAATTTGCGATGTGTACCGCCTGTCGTTGCGATTTTTCGATTTCGCATGGTGGAAGCGCGGATGTTCTCAAACATGTGCATACATACACAAAAACCCAAGGACAACAAGAGTTGTTTTGAAAAAAACGAAAAATTAAATTTTTCTTCGGAAACAAAGAACTAAAAAGTTATTAATGCCTTTTTACTGAAGCACAACCTGCCACTGAAAGAAGCTGAAAGAAGGGCAGCTTCTTCACCAATAAATGTGGATGAACACATTGTTGATATTTATTATAATCTTGAAAGGAGTTCTAAAAGGAAGGAAAAATTTAAACAGTTCCAACAGCTGCATAACGGCAGTTTACAATTAGAAAACTTGGATGAAGTTATAAAATCAGCTAGGATTGACACCCAGTGGAGTTTAATTGGAAAACTGAAAGACGCTGATGGAATTTTAAAATATAGTGAACTGTCTAGAATTATGTTGGCCATCTTGACAGTTCCCCATAGTAATGCTGAGTGTGAGAGGATTTTCAGTGTTGCGAAACCGAGGACTAAATTTAGATCTAATATGATGACACATTAGAAAAACTTGTATTAGCAAAAGCAGATCTATGTGGCAATTGTTATGAACAAAATTATGAAGTTTCTTTCTTAAAGAAAGCAAAATCTGCCACTGTTTATGACATTTGTACGAAAACTGATTAAAGTGTTTTTTTTGTTTTCTTAAATGGTGCAAGTAATAAAAATGTTTTTTATGTGTAAGGTATTTTTGTGTTGCTTGCATTTAAGAATTAGTTATTATTTAAAGTTAATTCATTATTAAAAACTATATTTTCATCATTTAAAAAGTCTTTTTAACATTGTGAAAAATCTCCCGATTTCTTAAAAAAATCTCCTGATTTTTGAGTGTCATAGGTTGGCAAGTATGCATTAGGAATTCAAGAGTAATGCTGGTACTGTCGACAAAGGCCCCATGACTGGAAACCAGGCAGTGTAGCATCTGGAAACACTGGTAACTTCCACTAACAGCAGTAACGGTGAGTCTCCCTAAAATTTCCGGATTAACAACTGCAGGAATGCCCCATTTGGATACCGAAGACATTGCACTAATATTCTTCCTCTATCCGGACAAGGCATAAAAACATAGCCACATTACTAGCTGATAAACTCGACGACTCCAGTTGGATTCTCCACATCACGTTCATTAGCCGAATTACTGATGGATAAACTTGACGAAGACGACTCCAGTGTAATTTTCCTGCTGAATAACATAAAGCATTTTCTACTTTCGACTCTTTCACGTAGCAGCTCAAATCTGAATCAACAAGTCGGCGCTCACCCCGCAAGGAGAAAGCCTCACCACTCTTTCTCTTTTTCACACTTTTACATCTCGTCTGCTCAAGATTCATTTCCAATCTCACTCTGCTCCGACACGCAAGCGCAAGACCCAGCACAATTTTTATCTTCTACCCTTTTCTTTGCAGGTCAAAATCAGACTGACTTCTAACATTGTGCAGCCTCCCAAGAAATCTGTCTCTCCGCTCCCATTTGTTCATAGGCTACAAAAAAATCATAAAATTAAATTTCACCAATCCCAGACTTTTATCTTTAGCTGAGAAATTACACCCCCACAAGGAATCAAAAACAAGACAATCCAACAAAGAAGTCCTGGCCACCCTGAACGGGGGAAAATAATCTCGACCCCCCCTCAGCTAAGCAGAAACTAACAAAAAGAATCAAATTGTCTTAACTTTCAACCCCCCTCCCCCCACTGTCCGGAAGAGAACTGAAATAAAACATTGCAACACAAAGCGAGAAAGCAAGTGAAAACGAGTAAGCCGATTTACAACTTCCTCTAATGCCCTATTAAACGAGCCCCCCGCCCAACGAAGAAATGCGACAAACACCCTAACTGCTTTAGTTCTTCTGTTAGTAAAACAGAAAAGCCATAAACCAGATGTCTTCCCTGTAAAGTTTCCTGTCTCTGTTACACAATCTACAGTTTTAAAAATAACAAGCTAAATAGAGCTTTAACAATTTAAGAATACTTTTTTTACCAGTTTCAAATATAAATGAATACAAATAAAAATACTTGATTAATGATATGAACAACCCCTATACTGGCAATGTTAAATTGACCATTTTTGATGTACCTTTTCTGAATATAAGCTGTAGATACACGGTTGAAATTTTTGTGTAATTAAAGTATACCTATCTGATTATACTGAAATGAGCTTTCGAAATATTTTGAATTTTAGAGTAATTTACAGAATATTTTGTTAGGCATAGTAAAATTTAGCACTTTTCTCGTACAAAAAATTAAAAAAAATGTTTTTTTCTTAGTTTATCACAAAAAACTCATTTCAGTAAATATTAAGAAACCTAATAAATAAGCCATAAAAATTTTAGATACCTGTGAGCGGTAGTTCCCGAGAAAAGGTACACCGAGTATAAAAAAAAATCACGTTTGGAGAAAAACGCGTTTTTATGTAAAAATCCTCATTGATCAAAGCAGTTGATGACAAATTAAGACTAGATTTTTTACAGTTCTAATTGCATAGAGATTAAAGAATGGCATTTTTACAAAGATAAAAGTGTAGAGAATTTGAAAATGCAAAAATCCGAAATCGCAATTTTTTGAAGATTTTGGTGTTCCAACACCCCTTAAAACGAAACATGGATATATCTAAAATTTGCCGCATAGCAAAAACAAGATTTCCATTCTAGAACTAACACATTTCAAAGATGGATAAATTTGAACTAGTCATTAATAATGTCAAGAAATGTATGCCAACTGGGAAGCAATACTGCTATAAATCTTTCTTGAATTAAATCCTTAAACCCTTTAAAGTTAGTTGAAAATTTTAGCTAATAGCAAGGTCTACTGTCAATGCTTTTAACTACTGCCAATGCTTATTTATATATCAAATAACTGAGTAATCATGTAATACATGATCTACTGTTTTTAATTAGTTATTCGCTTCTGAGATGACACCGCTATCAATTTAAATGTGCAATAAAATGGAGAGGGGGGGAGAAATCATTAAAACACTAACAATTTTAGTACTGCCATTTTTCTTATTTAAGAAAAATCAAATATTCATATTTTGCATACCATAGTGTAATAAAATACCAACACAGGTGAATCTGTAACAAATTTTAAATAACTAATTAAACCACAACAACCATTAGCACATTATGGTTGGAAGGAACAAAATCTAAAGTAACATAAAAATAAAAGTGCTAGCCAATTTAACATTTTTTGTGATCGTAATTCTTCAGGAGACATTGCGTTGTGAGTATGCCTTTCTGGGAGTGTGCTCAGGAAAGATCAGATAAATGATAAATGCGGTAC